GAATTGGCAAACCCTGTAGGAAAGTTCAGCCATTAATATTTAAACAGAGCACGTTATAATTCGACTGACTACTTGGGGCAAGGAATTTCCATGTGCTCGTTCCTAACACACCCATGGGGTTCTCGCTTCCAGCCCAGGCTGTTCTGGGCACCGCAGTTCCTGGTGCCTTTGGTCCAGAAGGGCCCGGGGCTCCCTTCAGCATCCCCTCCTGCTTCCCAAATGTCCTCAGCAGGAGCAGCGTGGGCATGGGCAGCAGCATGGGCATGGGCAGCCCTTCTGCTCCTTCCAACACCACCTCCATCTCCCCCAGGGCCTGCCCCTCCTGGAGAGCAGCCTGGGTCGAGCCCACGGCTCCTTCCCGAGAAGGATGCATCTTTTGTTGGTTAAAATTGGCAGGCCATTTCCTTTACTATTTACTCTGTTATTTTTGCTCACACGTATGTTGCAATATGCAAGGTGAGGCTCAAAACTGTCAAGCTCTTTAATAGAACCATTACTGTATTTTTGGAGAACGTACTCTTTTTGATTTACTGTTCCTTAGAAGACAGGAAATGGAGCTACTTGATTTCATACTTTAAACAAAGCCGTCCAGAGGTTTAATGAAAAAAATTTCCCCTGGCTTTCGAATTAAAGGGCTATGGTGAAAGATTTAGCTTGGCTATTTTGACTTAGAAAAATAACATACTAGAAGCATTAAAATATTTTGTAAAAATACTTTTTAGTACTAGATTTTTCAGAGAAGAAAATAACCTTCTCTGGTTTTCTCGGTCTTTGGTCGGTAGGGCTAGCTGTGAAAGGAAAGGACGTTTCCAAGGTTTGGGTGTTTTTCTTTCCTTCTGTAGAATTTATTTTCCTTTTATATTAAAAGCCTTGAAACAATTGCAACGCTGAAGACAAATTCTGTGCTTCTAAGCAAGGTAGTTTGGTATGAGTAATGGCAGAAGCCTTTGCCATTAGCAAAACGCGAGCAGCGTGAGGCAGAAGGACGCAGAGCCTAATCCTGTGCTGCCCGGCAGCGGCGGGAGGAAAGGGCAGTTCTCCTCGGGAGGCAAATGTCAGTGGAAGGCCAGAAGTGGGAGATCGGTATCAGGAGAAAATCGGTTTTAATAGGAAAATGCTGCGTGTGGAGCAGAATTAGCTTGGAGTGTCTGGGGCGGTAGAAAGCTAAACAGGCTGGAATTGCAACACAAAGCACTTTCGACCTAGATGTTGAAGCCAAGGTTTCTGCTCGTTCCATTTGGTTTGATTTGACTTTGTTTTTTATTTGTAGCGCAGTGGATCTGGGACGGAGCTTGGGCATCGTACAAAGCAGGCTGATGGTCTTAATTTCCACCCAGTTTCATCTTCAGTAAATAAAGAGAGAAGGAAACGTTCTGCTAGCTTGAAAGCACCGTGCTGCAGGATGAAATATTGACACAAGTTAGTCAGCGGGATATTTTTCAGTGACTTCAATGAGGTTTCACCAGGATTTCACTAGCAATTGCTTGGCTAAAATAATACCCGATTTTCTTCTGGAGTTGTTTCTGCAGTAACTGCTCCTTATAGGTGGAACCTGCTCCACCATCGGAGGAGCTGTGTCAGGTCTGGGGGACAGGAGGAAGGCTGGATTTCACACATCAAGGTCTTACATTCGTGGCTGTCAGTAAGATTTCAGCAGTTTATCAGAGAACGCACCGGGCAGAGCCTGCCTTCTCTCAGCCCCTCAGTAATGCTCGGGATCGGCAGGAGGCTTCCTCTGTCACGCTGCTGCGGTGCTGCCACTCCAGCAACGTTGGGGTTGGGGCAGCATTCGGAGCAGGACGCTGCTCTGAGATGTATTTGTAAACTTGCCTCTGGTCGACGATGAGAAATTTGATACGTTATCAACCGAGATGCTAGGACTGACGAAGAGAGAGCACGGCGGGCAGAAAAAGAGATTACAATTTAATAAATAGCAAAGATACGGTTAGCTGCTATCAGTTTAAGTTTAATGCCATTAACTCTTGTGCATTTGGTAATGATGTATGTAGGACAAAGCACCCAAAGGCTTCTGGGGAGTCACCAGCCCGGCTGTGGCTTTGTGCACTTTGCGGAAGAATTTTTCCAAGGCATAAAAATACCCAGGACTTCATTCTGCCTTGAGAAAATGGTTTTCCTCCACTACATCTTCTGTCTGTCAATGCAGCAGCATAAAGAACAGGAAGGGCCATGACAATCACACTTGTTCTTCCCGAAGCAGCTTTTTTTTTCTTTTTTTTTTTTTTTTTACATCAGAGAGGTACAGAGCCAGTGGTTTGGGCTTTGTGGTACCAAAGGACCTGCCTGTCTTAAGCAAGATCACATTTTCTGCCCTTACGCCCTGTGTAACCTAGGTTGTTCATCTGTGTTCGTATGGAACCAATTTAATAAACGTATATATTGAAATAAGGAGGAATTGGTGGACTCCAGGACAACAGCTGATGGTGCAGAGCCCATCTCTGCCCCACCGCTGGTTACTCAGAGATGCCTGCACAGTGTGGTCATGGCTGGTGAATCACCGCTGGGTGCCTGGACAGGAATCGTATTGCCAGATGTGTGCTTGTGACATGCAAAAGGAGTCAAAAGGGAGGAAAGATAAAAACTAGAGCTTCACCAGCCTTTCGGTTTTTTACAAGAAAGCTTTCTGTGCAGTTAATCCCTCTAACCTGCATTTACATTAACACTCGCACCTCACACGTTGCTGCTAAGAAGTTTTGGCAGCTCCTGGCCCTGATTGCAGAGGTAACGCTACACTTGTCTCCTTTGCTCTCACTCAAGTATCTCTGGAACCAGAGACAGGCACTCTATGAAGTTTCTCCTTGTACACGTATGCAGTCATCTTGGCAGAGCTTCAAAAGCCATTTGCCTTATTATTCATATGTCTGCTTATAGGAGCAGAAATGCTCCCATTTCTCACTTTCAAAATAAGAGCAGACCCTAGCAGAGAAGAGATTTCTCCCTGGCATTTCTGGCACAGCAGTGTGAATCTGTGGGAGCTCGCCGTCACCCCGCTGCCACGCTGGGCTTTGTGGGTACGGGTTTAGAAGCCCCCCAGTAGCCCTCCAGGGACACGAACAGCCATAGGGGAAATGCCTGAAGTCAGTGGGCTCCTAGAGTATAAGCAGAGTGGGGATCTCAGGGCCTCGTGAAATCCCATGAAGGATGACTTGAAAAAGAAACCTTCAAAAAGGACCAAATTTCGCTTTTCCTCCTGCAGTTAGGATAGCTGACAACATGGAAATGTTGCAGAGACCCAAACAGAATAGAAATGACTTAGCCTCCTCACTGCATTTTCTCAAACAAGCTTCAAGAACCCTTGCCTTAAAACAAATTAGTAGACTGAAGTAACCTTATAAATCCAAAGAGCCATTAAAAAGTTGAAATATTTGGTCATTCCTCCTCTCGGTTCAAACTGGGATTCATCCAGAGTTCAAGTGCGTGTATCACACAAGAGCCATGGTCCCATTTTGTAGAGGTCCATTTTAGTGTTGATGGTTTTCTAGTGCCAGGAATCTACTCTGCAGCCAGGCAGAGAGATAAATCAAAGTTGTGCGCGCTGATGAAATTCAGGAGCCAGAAGTCACCATTGCAGCCCATATAAATCCCTGAATGCCAGCCCTTGTGCTTTTGTCCATGCCATTAGAGTTCAAAATTATCTGCCCCTCTTTGCTGATGTATGGATTAACCGGCTGCCCGAGTGTTTACTAACGGTTATCACCCAGTACTTTGGACGTTATCAGAGGAAGGGACGCCTGCCGCAGGGCTTGGTCTCTCACCCTTTCTATTACCACCTGTCAGTGGCAGAGAGTGTGCTGTGAAGCTGTACAGTCACAGAGTACAAGTGTAGATAGTTTCTGACGGCTGATCAAAGGGGAAAACCAAAGGCCTGATAACAAGGACGTGTTTCATGTACTTTTAACTTTGAGAAACATTGGCATTTGCATTTTTTCCCCTCTGCAGGCTGGCAGAAACCAGGCACAATAAATGCTGCATATTCAGTTACCTAATAGTTGAGTAAATGGTATGTGCTTGAAGCAACAAAGCATAACTGTAATCTTGTTCCAAGTGGGAATGATTTAAGTAAGCCTTTGCAGAAGACTTGCTGTATAATAAAGTAGAATAATTTTAATTTGTACTTTGAAGTGATCTTGAATTCAGAATCTAATCTTTGTATTCAGCAGAACATCGTATACTGTTGTGAATGAGGTAATAACTGTAAGCTAAGGAATTACTTTCAGTATCTTTTGTAGGTACGTGCACTCTGTCATCATAGCCAGCATCCTCAGCAAAGCACTGCTGATGAAAGAGTCTCTGTTAGCTCAAGTTGCAGGTAAAATTTCACCGTACAGGGACAGAAAATCCACATACCTAGGCTGAAAGAAGGGCTCACTTTTTTCCTTCAGTAAGCTTACTTTGAACACAAAGCAGAAAGGAAGCAAGCCGTCCTTTTCTCACCAGCATATCATACTGCTGCACTTCCCTGCACGAGAGCAGGAAAGGCACACTAGCTGCAGGTTGTGGCCAGTAGCAAGGACAAAACAACGTGGCTGTTTCCATTGTCCAGGCTGAGAAGGGGAGGGAGTGCTCAACAGCAGAGCAGTGAAAGGCAAATCGACTTTAAAACTAATTTCTGGTCCTCTAACATACTTGATAACCTATACAGGTTGTTTTTTGTTTTTTTTTTTTTTAACATTACAGTTCCTGATTCTTTTGTCATTTACATCAGTGTCATTATGCTGATTTCAGCGAAGCCTCTCCCAGCTCTCACTAGTGTGAGACCAGGCTTGGGGCTGTATTTCTAATTTAACATTTTTGCATAAAGCTGCTAAGTACCTGGGCCTCTCTGCTTGCTCCTACTGTGCTATTAACGCCAACATTTCAATTAATGTGCTAAAATTAGCTTTTCAGGAGCTCAAAATGCAAGGCCTTCTTTCTTTCAAATGCAATAAATGATATCATATGGTCCCAGGCTCTCCCGAACATCTCCCGTTTGTTTGTTGAAGGTGCCTTTGACCGGAGCGTGACCTTGCTGGAGGTGTGTGGGAGCTGGCCCGAGAACTTCGGTCTCCGCCACATGTCTTCCATGGAGCACACTGACGAGGGCCTCCGGGAGCGCCTGGCAGATGCGATGTGCGAATCCCCCAGCAGGGACATAGTGGGATCAGGAACAGGTACAAAGAAGAGGCGTGATCAGAGATCACGTACATCTCACCCAATGGTGATTTTTATTTTTTATTTTTATTTTTCAAGTTTTGCTTCTCCTTTCCTCTGCACACTACCTCTGTGATTAATCAGCTTTTATGGGGGTCTCACTTAGTGTGAGAAAAGTCATTTATAAAAAGAAAATATCGGTAGATGACATAGACATAGTCAGGGAAGCCTAAAGCAACTCAAAGAAAAATGCTGGCTTTTGAAGCTCCCTTACCGTAGTGCTGTGATAAGGGCTCTCCTCCCCTCCCTGCCAACTCGGGAGCATCTGAGTCTATGTGCAGATTGCTGCCCTTGCCCACACTGATCCAAACAATGTCATAATCACACACATCCTAATTTTGTGTCCTGAATAGAGCCACTGTGAAACGCTGGTTCTATAATCCAAATTAATCTATCTTCATCAGTGTCCATTATATTGATAAATTATATCATCTGTTTAAGTAAATGGAATAGCACGTCAGAGATTATGCTGCTCAGAAGGGGCCCAGTGCTAGGAGATGTTCAGAAATGTTAAAGCTCAGTTATTGTGGTTTTATTGTCTCCCATTAATTTTGGCTTGTTTTAAAAATGCCTTCTAGTAAAAGGTCTAGGCCCATCTTTGATCTGTGCACCATTTGTGTTGCGACCAGCAGCTAATAGCCGTGGTCGCTCTAACATCAGCTGCCAGCTCACTTGTCACTCTTCTGGCAAGATGCCTGGGAAGGAAAAAAGGAGGAACTTGAGCAGTAACATAGGGGTATGCCAGCCTAGTGACATTACAGAAACGTTGTGGAGAGTAGAAGCTGCTCTTTCTTTCACAGTGGTCCTCGTATTGCTGAGGGGCCCTGTGCTGCTCTGAGCTCTCCCAGCTCTGCATCTCTCTAGCTAGAAAAGACTCAAGCACTTTGCCATCAGGGCTTGCCCCCGTGCTTTGCAGAAGGGTTATTACAGAGTAGGTAAGCTACAGCAGGTCACCACACTGTTACTACCTCCCACCAACTGGAGAAGGTTGAAAATCAGCAGTTTAAGCTCTCATACATGTATGTAGGTACAAGTAGCAATAACCAAGCTGCCAAGTGGTGCAGAAGCACCTTTCATACCCCAACTTGCCATCTCTCAAACTGTATTTTCCACTGTTTTGCTACTCCTGAAAAAAGTGGAGTCATGGGATGGCTTGAGACTCAGTATTAACAGAAGGAGGTTGGTTGAACACCAAATAAGGGTCTCGTTTACACATCTGGTGCAAATTTCCACCAGTTTGTTGCCTTGGACAAGCCTCTTAACATGCCCATGATTGCTGCATCACTGCAATGGGGATAGAGATGCCTCACGTTGCAGGGGTGGAGTTTGATAAGCTTGTGTTTGCAAAGGGCATTGACGATGGAAAAACAGGCTGTGAAAATGCAGAAACATATTTATTTCATCACTTATTGACCCATACTGTGAGCAGAATGAACTTTGGGATCATGTTCACTTCCTCGGATGGGTCAGCTCTCCTCCTGTGCTTCAGAGGAAAGATAAAGGGAATAATTTCTCTGAAAGCTGAAGCCATCTAGACATGCCAAGTTGAGGTGACTGACTGCCCCAGAGACTTTGTATTATACTGTAAACCAAGAACTTTGTCACAGTCAGAGAGTTTATATTTTCTTTCCATTTTCACCAGCTGATACCAGTAAGTGCTGACTTCTTTGCCAGAAGGTTAGGCTCAAAACACTTCAGGTGTAAAGACAGAAGGGGACTATTTACAGAGACACCATCACTCAGCAAAAATGTATCCAAAGAGATTTCTCCCTGCTTTTACTCTAGACCCATAAATCTTCATCATGAGTGTAAGATAGATGCCATCTCAAAGCAGCAAATCTAAGCACCATCACACAGTAGGGAGTAACGTGAGCGTTGACCCAGCCCACCCCATCCCACTACCCTGCTCACACTGTCATTGTGCTCTGTGTTTTTCTGCCTGTCGTGGGATTCTCTCTATCACTTACACACTTTATTCTCAGGATTCGGACATGTGATGACTCGGTGCAGCAGAGAAAACCTAGTGATAAGGCTGTGAACTCTGATGCCCTTTCCACTTCCATCCCCTAACAGCTCTTGAACTGTTCTTCTTACCAGATGCCCATAAAAAGTACTCTCCTGCTCAAATGATACCTGGAAAACTGCTCTTGCCTAGGGAGTCGACCAGTGCTTGCTACAACATGCGTGGCTGCACTCACGGCAGGCTGCCAGCCAGCCATTTGTCAAACTGCGGATCACGTTAAAACTCTAGCATCTGTCTGCTGGTTAATAAATGGGAAAAGATAAGTTTGGAGGTACATTAACACTGCTTCAAAGAAGAGGCATCTTTGTTGGCTCGGAACAAGTAGGATAGTTTTAACTTCCCCCCCAAACCACTTACATCTTAACAAACCCAGGCTGAATTGAATTTATCTTTGAAAAACATTATTTTCTAGGCTAGCTCTTCCTTCCTTGGATTCCCTTCCACTCCCTCATCTCAATGAAATGATAGCAAGGAGCTTAGCAGAGAAGACACCATAAATTTGCTTGATGATAGTTGATTTCTATGTTGGTGCTGTTTCCAAAGACAGTAATTATATTTCTGCATTGGACTCAAATTATGTAATTTATAAACCTCGCTCTAATAATCCTAAAATGACTTACTTTAGCTTGAAGTCACTCATACCTTTAATCCTTGGCTGTGCTCTTTTAATTCTTTTTAGTCCTTAAGCACATTTTACAGATTTAACGAAACTTGTAAAGTCTTTTTTAAACCAAAACATACAGCAATGACATTTCTAACTCGGAATGTGAAGGTATGTGCCTGTGCTCGTGTCCACAACGTGGACAAAGAAAAAATGGCAGTAGATGGACAGTGAGACTTTATCAAAGTGCTCAACTGGGCCTGACATGCACTTAATGGCAAGAGATAAATAGATTCTTTTAATACCTTAACTGTTAGGACATAGCTGACACATAGATTTATATAGTAATCAGGGCTGATATGCAAAAGTAGTGCAGAGGAAGCGCATGCTCATAGCACACAGACCACTTTGGGCAGTAGATACTAACGGTATCTTTGTTCCTTACCTACCCCATTGCATTGCAAAGCTGGGTTAGCAACACCTCACTTCTTCAGTGGTTCAAGATACCGGCAGTGGCAGAAATCACCTGAAGGTTGGTTGTGTAGGAAATGTCAAACTCAAGAACAAGAAAATCTTGAGGAATAATGCAGCCGTTGCAAAGAAGGGGAATTAGATGGCCTAATGGGTCTTGTCCATCTCTGACTCCGGCTGGTTGCCAAGGGCTGTCGGACAGTGGATGGGAGAAGAACCAGGTCTGGAAAATGACCCCCCAAAAATCTACTTTCCTTCTGACCTAAATGATAACTCCAGTCATCCAGCTAGTTGACTTGATTGGGAAACCAGCTTTTCTCCTTGTTATCCAATTATCCAGACGACCCATGTCTATCTTAAGTGGAGTCTGCTGTACATAAGCTGTCAGCCTAGATACACATTTAATTCCAAAGAAGGCGTAAATTGGCAAAGATGCAAAAAGATGTTTTTACTGTTTCAGTTTCTGTCAGACTCTAAGTAAAAAAAAAAAAAAAAAAAGGAAGGTCTGCTCACAGAAATTTAGTGGTCACTGACCTCTTTTCCTTGCAAAGCTTTGTTTTCAAGCAGCTACAGTATTTACATTTGCATTATAGTTTCTAAGTATGTGCTGGAGCTTCACATCGCATTTTCAAAACAAAAGCAAAGCTAGTATTGTGATTTATGAAACTGTGACAAATCTCTCTGACTCACTCAAACTGTACACACACAAATTGCCAGCCCAGGCTAGAACTCTTTCCCTCCAAAATACTGTAATCAGTAAATGCTCTGATTTATGTAGTCCTTCAACAAGTACATTTTTTAAGCTTTCAGATGTACTTTGGTCATTTCTAGGCATAATATTGAAAAGCAGCCTGTAATATATGGCCAAGCCTCTACAGTCTAGTTGAGAGGATGTGTTCTGCAATACACCAATAGAAGACAATTTCTGTGACCCTGATTTCTGTGCCATAGGAGTTCATGTGCTGAACTCCACGAGTCAGATTCCTCTTGTGCTCTCTGCCTGTTACTTCTGGTCTGAGGAGGGCATGAGCACCATGCTGCTGATGTGGTTTCTTCCTTCAGAGGTATAGGATGGGGTGATCTGTGTACACTCCAGGTATCCAAATTCATTAGGCCCCCAACCACATCCACTTAAAATGTAATCTGGCCTTAAAGAAAATCAGCGGATCTGTCAGTCAGACCCATAAAGGAGTTACTGACTCCAGAGCAGTAAAAGGGAGCATGAAACCTTGCAGCTGTGCATGTACAGCCCTAAGGAGAAATGCTTTCTACCCTGGGGAGTTCATCCCAGCATCTCCTGCTGCTTCAACCTGGGTGAAAGGTCTAGCTCCATGTTAAATCTAGGTACAGCCTCACACTCACCTGTTTAGCAAATCAAAAACCATTCTCTACATCTCTTCAGGTTTATTACTATAAAGCACATAGCACAGTGACAGCAGAGCAGATTTATTCTTTAGGAGACTAACACAACACACAGGTTTCCAAGGGAGAATTGTCAGTATATAAAATAAGTAAGTATCACTGTTCAGGCTACTCTGTCAAGGTAAGCAATATGCTGGTGCAACTGTCAGACCCCTGTTTTTTCTTCTAGAAGGAGCTTGGCGGGTGCAGTGCCCCAGGAGTCAGGGCTGCAGTGGAAATGCAGGATGCAGCGTGCAGGAGAAGATCCCTGTTCATGCCCATCTGCTGCAGCCTCTCTGTTACCATTTCTTTGGCTGCCTGAATATTGCCCTTACGTTCATATCTGATTTACTTTGACAAATCATACCCAAATCCACATTGCTGCTACGTTTTATAAGTGGTGGAACTGTTCTGGGGATATTCAAGAGTAGGATTTCATTTTGTGGGCATGTATCCCTTTTTTTTAACCCATCATGAAATCCAGTACTTTATGATGGCTCAGTTTATACTGCAGTTTATGGAGCAAAATAACATTTTTTCTCTATCTATTCCTGTTTCAGGAATACATATGAACTTAAACTAAGAGCCTATATTAAAAACTGCAGAGCACCCCACAAATTCTGCATCTCAGAACCCTTGTTATTAGTTCTGAACAGGGAAAGATGCAATTACGGCACCATTGTGGTCAATAAAGCCCATGAGTTTTGAAGAGTTGCTATACAATTTAAAGCAAGGTCTTTAAATCCCTTTATAAAGTTTCAGTTAAACAACAGAAAAAAAATCTCATTTTCTCTCAGGACTCCTGCACACTCTGTCAGCTACCAGCAGTGGGAAGTCGGTGGCAGCAGAGGTGCAAACGCAGCAGAGCCCTGCACGGGCCCTGGGTAGGAACCTTCTGGATTCCTTCCAAATGTCATCAGCAAACTCATAATGCAATGAAGGAAGCTCGTATGTTGAAGCAAACCCTTTAACCTGATTAATGGGGTGTAAGTAAGTGGAGCTAATTAGAGGTGCTGTTAGGGGATAGCCCGTCCGAGGCGCTGGGATCCACGTTTAGGCCTGTTTGGCTTCAGGCCTCCACACAAGGCCGAGCGCTGCATCTGGCTGTCAGATGGTTACCGCGGCCTGAGCCTCACGCGGGTCTTGACACCTCTGAGCTTAGCAAGGGGAAGATTTTGAAATATTTATGTGAAATTTGTGGTTTGGGTCTAAACGTGAAGTTCACGATGAGCAGTGAAGTCACACGCTCTCCTGCGTGCCTGCCTCAGGTTGGATGGGAGGGAGAAGGAGCAGGGGCCTGCTGGTCCTGCACAAGAAAAACCCTTCCTGATTTTTGTCCAAAAGAGAAAACATCAGTGATCCCAAACTGTGTTGAGAGATGAGCAGCCACCTGGACATAAATGTACCTGAGCATTTAGTTTCTGGAATAGGATTAGCCCTGTATAGACTCAGAGCTTCGATTGGTACCTCTCCTTCCTTCCTTTCTCCTTTTCCATTCTCTTCCTTTTAATTTTTCTAAGGTTTTTTCCCCTCTCTCTCCTCAATTGGTCTTAATCCTAACTTGGTCATGGGGTCTAGGAATACAAGAACACAGATCAATTGGTCTTCCCTCTGAAGAGCATTTCTGCAAAGAGATTTCTGCATAGGTTCAATGCAAAATCAGCTCGGGCAGCAAACACACTGGCATATCAAATAACATTGATGCTAAAAGCAGCCTTTGAACTTTCAGAATAATCATGCCAGGGTCAGAGATTAAATTACCCCCTCAATTAAGTCTAAGAGCTCAATGTTCTTCCTACAAAAGGTTTATTTGGATGATACTCTTAAAAAAAAAATGAAAATTCAGGGCTCTTTGGGAGATGCCATTTTTGAAGTGCTGGGGAAGAAGAGCAGCGTTCCCATTGCACACATTTTAACGTGGTTACATGACTCATTTCTCACGTGCAAGATCCTGCTGAGGGCGCTGAGTGCTTCAGCCTGGGCTTCTCTTTCTCTCCAGCCCTGCCCAAGACAGAGCAGCCCCATCCCGCAGCCTGCCAGGCCCACCAAGTGCGTTTTAGCTCCCAAACTGTTTGTCAGGTCTCCGGACCTGGACTCTTCTCCACTTCTCAGCCTGGGCTGGGGCAAACACCCATGGCTGAGCGGGTCCTTCCCTCAGAGCCCAACAACCAGCTGGGGCTTTCAGTGGAATTTCTTCTAGGTCAGACGTTGTTTATGGGGGAGGGGGAATGAATGCTGATACCACAAATGTCTCTGGTGTGAATTTAGGATCACTGCAGTTCATAGAAAAAGCCTGCTTATATTTCTAAAGGGTGTACTGATACTGAGAGACAATTCTGACTTTCTATCGTTTGATAACAAGTTGGTCAACTGCATTTACTTACTATCAATTGTGGTGTTGGGAGATTCCTTTTCTCTTTCTTCTTATTAAATCAAGACACTTTTTAAGAAATATTTTATTTTTGATGCAGAAACAGCCGGTGAAGTAGCAGTAAAAAACATCACCACAAAGAGGCACATGGCTTTGAAATGTTTTGGTATGTAACATAACCGTATTGTTCTCAGGTCTTAACTTTTGCACAAAGAGTGTTTCTCCTTGTTTTAAAAGCAAACCCTCTGTCAGTTTTCAAAGGGTTACACACATAAGGTGGTGGTAGAGGAGCAAAACACAAAAAATATCTAAGTGTTTCAAATCATTTCACAAATAACATTGTTCTATTTCTCCCCTTAAATGAACAAGAGTTTCTTTGATATTTTTTTTAAGTCAAATTTAGGATTCTGCTGTTCAGAGCAGAGAGGTCACAAGGCCCTAATGTATTTAGCATTGACTGCCCTCTCTTGTAGTGCGTCTATTAGTCAGTAATTTGATTTGTACCTATTCATTTGCAGTCCCTGCAGGAGCTCTGAGCTGGCCCCAAGTATAATTGGTGCTGTCTCTATTTTTACATCATTAGATTAGCCCCGACTCCTGGCCACTTGTTGTCTGCGCTTGTCTGTCCATTTATACAACCTAATGTAACACAAAATTCATTACTGATCACATTACTTTCAACTCTGAAGCCAGCTTTGTGATAAACATTTTGTTAACCCTTTCTTGCCAGCACACAGACCTGGGGGATAAATGCACTTTCCCTTTGCAGAAAAATCAATATCATAATAAAACAAAGTGCAGTCACATTTCTAGATTTGTCATTCCTCCTGGAGAAAGAAATGGGGAGAAACATATATGAGATGAGTAAATGATGTCTGCATCCAGGCATCTCAGGCTGCTGTATATGAAATGAGCTCAGCAGTGTCCTTTCTACTAGAATATAAAGAAGCGACACAAGATAGGGCCAGCACTCAATTTAAAACTTAATTTCTTACTCATTGTTCTGCAAGTGTTTTAGCTCTTCTGTGCAGGCTATAATCAGGTTATGACATTATTGGAACTGGACATTTTTCTTCCAGTGCTTTGTCTCCAAGTAGTTAACAGAGAAACAATTCCCCTTCTCCTTAGAGATTTGTTATTATGTTGGGTTTTGGTTTGGTTTGTGGTTTTTCTTCCTAATGATTAAGCAAATTAATTTTCCTACTGCAATACTCCAGCATTTCACAGGAAAATGTGAAGCTCCTTTCTGTCTAGCTTGGTTTTGCTCACATTTGATTGTTTTGCTGAGTACCTTGTAAAGCATTAGGCTTTTTGCATCACAGAGGCTTCTGCTATTGATTTCAACAGGAACAAGAGGAAAGCCACGGTAGGTATTCATTTAGGCCTGATTCTGCAAAGGGCTCAGCATCCTAACAGCACTGTTTGCAATATCACGCACATGAGGTGATGCTTGCTATTCAGAGAAATGTATTTTGGTGCATGCAAAAGCTGTTGATTTTTAACAGTTTTCTAAATTGATTTTCTGTTTGTACAGCTTGGCGTGGAAGTCTGTTGGTTTGAGTTTTCTAAATATTTAGAAACATTTCTCAATGTTTATTAAATGTTCCCTTTAAAAGCCAGAGTTCTGAGGCATGTCCCACACTGAGTAATCCTGCACTGAGCAGGGTGCAGGCGGCGAAACAGCCGTATAGGATTTTTCCATCTCTAATTTCTATAATTACCTTGTTATTCCTTTTGGAGTCTTCACATGGTATTTTTATGTAGCATACAACTTACGGCAAGCGTGTATTTCTTAGTAAGAGCCCTCGTCTCCCATCATTTGAAACAGGACTGGTATTTTTACAGCTGCTTTGTGAGCCCAAACTTGTTGCAGCTGCTGGCGTGATGGCAGAATAAAGATGAGGCAGTTCCTCTCTGTCCTCCCAAACCCAGCAGCCCCAGAGAACCTCTCAGATCGAGGCTGGGGTATTTCACTGATTTTTACGGGAATTATTTTAGTTGTGTGCAGCACTGGCTGGCGCTTGGTCCTAAAGCCTAGCCAGGGGAAGGTGCATGTCTCCGCTCAGCTCAGCTGCTGCCTTTGTGCCCCTCAATGTCTGCTTCAGTTTTGTCATCTGAGTGCCAGGGATGCCAAAGAGACCTGAAGTCACTGTACATGCTACTCCTGTGACCTCATGTTGCAGATGAGCCACAGACGGGGTCACGACGCGGGGCACACTGCGCGCTGGGAGGTGTGCGCCAGGCAGGCTGCCTGCCCCCAACCCGGGGTCCCGCTGTCCGGGAGGGTTAGTCTGACTCTGCTCCCCTTTCTGTTGCTATATAGTGCAGATCTGCCACGCGTCTGGCATTAACTCTTCGAAGGTTTGAGCCTTTTGTTATCTTAAAATGACACGCGGCCAATCTGCCGACTCCCCTTCCTGCCAGTGTGGAGCATTAACATCGTGCTGATGCCGAGGGCATCTCCTGTTCCCTTGATTTTGAAGGGAAGATGGCCAAAGTCATTGCAAAGCTCTCATAAACTATGCATTGCCCTCATCAGGGGAGACAGGAGAGGAGGCTGGAGAATGGAAACCCATTTATGCAATAAATTGTTAAGTAGTTGAGCTGTTAAATGAACACTTCTTATTAGAGAGATACAATGAAGTATGAGTCACCAAACAGCAAAACACACATTAACACAGCAAAATTCCCATCAATAAATGGCAGGTCAAAAGCTGAAGCAATTAAAATGTTCCAGCCTGAGCCAGCTCTTCGGCCCTGCAGCTTTTAGTCCTCTCAGCTGCCAAGGCCCTGGATCTGCTCCTCGTGCTTGGCTTCAGGAGGCAGAAGTCCTTCGATGTGCCCCTGAAGTGCCACCACCGCAACTTCGAGGGCCTGCTGCCATCCGTTTGGATGCCTTATCATTTCCTATCATCATACTGCAGTCCTGCCATCGCCTCTTGTCACCCCCATGCATTTCTCTAACAGAGTATCAGACAAACAGTAACCTGATTTTTCTGATAATCTGGCCTTGCCATCCACGTTGGAGTCTAAGGATATCAGGGCTTGGGGCCGTATCCTTGCTTAACAGCTACGTTTTTGGCTATCTGATGCTTGTCTAGTGGAGATGGGCAGACAGAATGCGTAAAGCAGGGAAAAGGCAGCAAGGAAAAGGTGAAAAAAAAAGATGGTGGGGGTATTTTTGCTGGGGAAGCACCTCTCGTACCAGTGCTGCCACTTTCCGGGGCACATCTTGTGGGGCCAGGGTTGGTGACTGGACACCCAGGGACAGGCAGTGCTGGGGTCAGTCCATGGCAGTGCTGGGAGTGCTTAGCTCTCCTTGAGGTAGGTATTGTAATTTGTGGTATGGAAATATTATCTTTCCTTTCATTCCTAGCCTGCTGTCTCCCCACCATGGATAATATATAAAACAGTAGACTTTTATTCATTAACATTTATGGGAAAATGTTAATATTAAACTGTAAGTGAAAAGCCCTATCTTATTGAATTCTTCTGCTGTGTTATTGGGAGCCTAATTACATTTTGCATTTAAATAAAAACCAGATGACGTTCAGGACGGTCAGGCAAGCATTCTGTAAGTGAGAATTTATCTTGCGATCTGGGTAAACAATGTCTCATCATTTAACAGTTATTATAAATAATGGGTTTTTAAGCACTTTGCTGGGAGTTCATATTGGCTCCACACGGGTTGCACTGAGAGAGAGAGAATTTCAGTGACATCTTCCAGGCATCCGGTGAGGAGGAATCATATCCTGAGCTCACTTCTCAAGCTGCGGCAGTTTTCATCCTACTCTGTTTGTTATTGCTAAATATTTTATGTCTGACACACACACAAAAAATACTAATAGCAAGAAAAATTGCAAATCGGTTGGAAGCATTTTGCAAATGGAGAAACCATCGATGGTACAACCCAGCAGAAGTGGAATATGCTTAGGACTCCTGCAGAGTTTCATGCAAGTGATTTTAGAAAGAACCCTCCAAAAGCACATTGGTTTGGGAAAAAAAATGGTGCTGTATAAAAAGTTAGGTGTTCTTTCACAAAGAAGATGTTGAGGCACAAAGTAAAGACAAAAAGATAATAGACTGGCTGTTTTTCTGTGTTTCTGCTGGTGCCCTCTTGAATTACATCATTGGTAATTGCATCCCTGGTAATGCGTGAGGTACTTTAGAAAAAGATTAAAACTTCTAAAATATGTAAATAGCTTTTTCCCCACTTCTGCTGTTTATATTCTGTGTTTCATTCCTGCCACTTCAGGCAAGGTGGTTGTGCTTTTGTAGCTAGCTGGCTTTTAGTCTTTGCTTCGTGTTTCTCAGACATTAGCAAGAGTCTCTGAGATTTCTCCCAGGCATTTCCCGTCATGGGCAGGGAGCAGCTTTGAATGCAGTCTGTCCCGCATCCCAGTGATGAAGGAATTAGTTTTCCATGCAGACAGGAATAGGTGGTAAGTGGATGAACGTCTCAAGCAACCATTTGCTGTTGTGAAAAAATCCCGGACCGGTAAGTGCCTAACACTGGCTGGTGGCAACCACAGCCCAGAGCACCACAAAGCCACCCACTCTGCAGAGCGGCTGTTTCCGGGATGTAAACTGTTTACTGCCTTTTTCCGTGAGAGACGTTTTATCCCATTTTCCAAGAGCATCCCCGCAGCTAAAATACCATGCTTTTTTTACTTTTTTTTTTTTTTTGGTATTTATTTGTTATTTCCTTGGTCAGTGACTTTCTTAGTATCTACCCAACACATGAACTCTGTGTTTACATCAAAAGCTGATGGTGTTGTGAAAGACAAAGGGTCAGTATCACTTCTCTGACCGTTTCCAACGATGTTTTTCTGGGAAGGCCGCGGGCAGGAAGGTGCTGGCAGAGGCAGCAGCCAGGACCAGCCCCAGGCCCTCTGCTTGGGCTCGCTGGCACAGTACAGAGTGAGGAGCACGGGTGGCCAGGAATGGGAACACCCTGATCCAGGTGAGCAGGATGGGAACAGGGGTGGTTTCCCAACCAGATGCAGATAGCCCCACGCTGGGGGACCAGAAGCAGTCCCATGCAATGTGCTGTGAGATGCCTGCAGCTCCCCTCCCTGAGACTCTTCTGACTTTCTCCTAAGCCAGGGCACGGCTTTCCCATGGGGGGTATCTCCTGCCTCGCTGAGCAGCTACTCCCACTGGGTG